CAAGCTTCTGGCGGTGAGTGCCATAAGCCAAGAAAAGGCCAAGGCCACTCTTGTGAACTTTGTTTAGGATGTGGAATGGGGTATGGAGGGTTCTGTGTGAGACGGGAGCACAGGACACACAGGTCCTGAAGCAGCCAAGGAAACTGCTGCTGGATGAAGGGCCCCAGCCAGGCTTCTGGGGACACAAAAAGCCAGACCTAGGGGCCAGACCCAGGGCCGGGAAGGCTGGCATCCCTGGTAAAGCTCCCCGGGTCTGCACAGAGCCAGAGGCCATAGGGTGACCCAAAAATACAGAAAGAGGGGCCATGGAGGGCAGCTTATGATAAGCAACTCTGGGTACTCTTCAGATAATGGCTTGGGTTCATGATAGAGGAGATCCATGCAGAGGACCTGACTGTGGACAAAGACCAGAGGTCTATGTATGCCATGCTCCAGGCTGCCACCAAGGAGCTCATTAAGAAGTGGGCCACCCAGGAGAACCCAGATAAAGGAGACAGTCCCTGAGAGTTCTTGGCCATGGTCACTGTGACAGACAAAGCCAAGAAGGAGGGGCTGGAGAAAGAGCCCCTTAAAATTGACTCCAATGGCCTCAACGCCAAAGAGGACAGGAATGATGACATGACATCACCCATTTGGGCAAAACCACTCTACAAGAACTGTTACAAAAACATCTGGTCTTTCCCCGATTGGCAACTCTAACTCAGTTGGCTGCGCCCAACACAACACAGGACAGGGGCCCAAGCCTCCATTATTTGTCCAGAAAAAGGAGGCTACCCATTCCAACAGCTGGAAATGGACTTCACTGAGATCCAACTAAGCAAAACTTATCAGTACCTTCTGGTGGTGGACAGCACTTTTACAGGCTGGGTGGAAGCCCACCCCACCCCCACGGAAAAGGCTGCAGAGGTATCAAAAACACTAGCCAAGAAAATCATTCCCCGGTTCGGGGTACCTAGCAGCATCGGGTCAGACAGTGGGCCTGCTTTCGTCAGTCAGGTGATCAAAGAGATATCTCATCACCTCCAGAGATTTTAAAATATGAAATCCTAAGACCTTGTCAACCTGCCTGAAACACTCCCTTGCTGCTAGTTCAGAAGCTGGACAGCAATGATTACTACCCAGTGCAGGATCTCTGGGCAGTCAATCAAGTAGCAGTAGCTCTGCACCCTGTGGTTCCTAACACATACACCTTGATGGCCCTAATACCAGCAAAGACAATGTGCTTCTCATGCTTGGACTCAAAAGATGCATTTTTTTTTTTTGCATCCAGTTGACACCTGTGAGCCAACCCATCTTTGCTTTCCAATGAGAGGACCCCAGTCAGGGGGACAACAACAGTTAACCTGAACCTGTCTTCCACAGGGTTTCAAGAACTCCCCAATCATCTTTGAAACTGCTCTGACATCAGATTTACCAGCATACCCAGCAGAAAAAGCTGACTGCACACTCTTACCCCCTCCTTGCAGCGGCTAACCACCAAGACTGTCTTAAAGGGACAGAGCTCCCACTCTCTCTTATAAAAAGCTGGATACAAGGTATCTCAAAAAAGGCTCAGATCTGTCAAAACCTCCCAAGGCCAGCACACACACACACACACACACACACAACCAAGCTGTCTGTTAAATCCCGACTCCAACTTCAAGAAGACAAATCCATGAGTTCTTGAAAATGACTGGGTTCTGCCAAATTTGGATACCTAACTTCTCACTGCTTGCAAAGCTTTTATATAAAGCCACAAAGTGTGTGTGTGTGGGATAAAACGGAGCCCCAATCTAAAAATCTAAACAACAGGCTTTTCATGCCATCAAGGAGATATTAGTTAGCGTCCCTGCTCTGGGACTCTCAGATATAAAAAGCCTCTCTTCCTCTATGTACATGAGAGAAACAACATAACAATTGGAGTCCTGACCCAATTCCTAGGCTCATGACATCGGCCAATGGCTTATCTCTCCAAACAGTTGGATTCAACGGCAAAGGGATGGCCTCTCTGCTTGTGAGCTCTCACAGCCACAGCCTTCCTCATATCAGAGACAAAAAGTTAACACTGGGGGAGAAAATAACTGTTAGGGTCCCACATTCTGTAATGATTCTAATAAAATACAAGGGATGGTATTGGCTGACAAATGTCAGGATAGTCAGATACCAAAATATGCTCTGTAAAAATCCACAAGTAAAGCTAAAAGTTGTCTAGGCTTTAAACCCAGCAATCCTCCTCCTGTCGGCTGCAGGGCCTCCAGACCATGAGTGTGTTAAGGTGATTAATAACTTAAGCTGCCCTGATCTTGGTAACCAGGTGCCTCACCAGCCTAGCCAACAATATTTGTAAACAAAGTAACACATGTGCCAAAAATAACCCCAAACAGGGACTCCTCTTCAAACCAGGACTCCAGCATCCACTCAAACTGACCCTGAGGAGGGGACCTTCAGCCTTGCCCTAGTCACAAACTGGAAGCTGACTACTCTACACATGGCAGAAGCTTGAGGAGTCCAACTGGACAGACAGTTAATGGACTGGTGTTTCTCATGGACAATGTTCTATGGTGATGTTTAAATTCTGTCATCCCTTGCCTATCTCTCTTTTGGTATTATGACCTTGTTTTGGTCAGTAACATTAACAGTAACTGTCCCAGCAGGACAGAGCATAAATCAAGACGCTCTTTCTGGCAATCTTTCTCTCCTACTAACAGGATGTGATATTGTTTTTGGTTGTTTCTATTCTGAGTTCCCTTTTCAAATGGTAATGCCTCATGCCAACTTTCCCAAAGTAACCTGGGTGATACATATTTGCCAGAAGAGGAGGGAAAACTCCAGTCCTTTGAGGGGATTCTAGACAAAGTCTTTTACAGGATAAAACTGGGCCCCATGGGTAACCCCCCTGGCAGGCCCATTCACTGTGTTACTCTTACTACTGCTCCTAGGGCCTCCTATGATAAACCTCTTGGACAGGTCCCCAACTGGATGGACGCTGTTAAATTATAGTTAGTGAGACAGTACCAAGGATTGCCTCTAGATGACATTCCAGAAACAGTCATAAGGGATTATGATGGATAAGAGGAGGGAATGATAAGGAAACCCAGAGAGAGATCAAAGCCAGGGAAAAGGATCAAAGACAAGTAAAGCCCTTCCCCTTAGCCAGGGCCCCTGCATCCATCTATCTCATTAGAAACTATGGATGGCCTTCATCCACAGCTGTGCTGACATGATATACTATAGCCTTGAACAGCTAACCGCCAAGTCTGCTTCTGCTCTCCCCACTTGCTTGCTTGCTGCTTTTCTCAGTATAAAAACCTCAGCCACCCGGAGCTCGGGGCCTGTGCCATTTTGGAGATATCCAGGTGCTGGTCCGCTAGCGTAATAAACCTTCCTTTCCTCCAACCACCTGGGTCTGAGTCTTATTCTTGCAGGTCAGTCATACTTTCTGTACCATTTCTGCAACAATATGACTGGGAAGAAAAAATTAATTAACAGATTGCTCCGTGTGCTTTACGGTCCGAAAAACAGGATGTGGAGGAAAAACTTCTATACACGGTTACTAGGAACATAAATCAGCCCAGCCACTTTGGAAAACAGTACGGAAGTTCCTCAACAAAGTAAAAATAGTAACAAAATAGGGCGGATAGCCCATTCCTGAACATATATCCAAGGGAAATGAAGACAGCATACAGAAGAGATAAATGCCCATGTCAGTGTACTGCAGCCCACTCGCCAGGCGCCCGGCAGACCACTGGCCTCTGCCTCTCTGGGGCCGTTTAGAGGGAGTTTTGCTTGGGCGCACTCCAAGGGCTTGAGAAAACTACATTACCATAGGCCTCTGCGCTGAGCGTCGGCGCGCTGGACCAATGAGATCCAGAGAGTGCGCCTCGGGAGGCGGGACTTCCGGAGTTCTCCTCGCAGCCCTCTCGATGAAGCCTCGGATGATTTGCCGGATGAGATCGTGAGCTCTAGGTTTCGCTGCGGCAGGTAAGGCGAGAAGAAAGGCACAAGGAGACGGTCTCAACCACAGAGGCGGTTGTGTGCCTCCGCGCGGGGACTAACTGAAGTGGGGCTCCGCGTGGGCGTCCTCCTGCTGTGGCTGCGCCCCGCCTCAGCTCTTAGAGGTGGTGGCCGCGCAGACTCAGCTTAGGCCTCGGTCCCCAGGCAGTCACCTGTCCCGACCCGCACCTCCCAGCCCGAAGCCCCGGGTGCGGACGCCTGCCCGGGTCGTTTCAGCCCGACACCCTGTTTCAGCACCGTGGAGCGTTGCTAAGTGACGCGTGGCTTCTGACTCCCATTGTGACGCGGGCCGGGGAGCGTTTCTTCCAGGGGACCGACGCGTGCCCGGGCTTCGGGTGCGGCTGGGGAGCCCTGGGCATCCTGTGAGCCGATGAGATGAGCCTCGTGTGTGCCGGCAGCCGCCTGAGCCGCTGGGCTGCGATTTTGAGGGATTTTAAAGGGGCTTTCGCCAAGGACAAGAAGACTGGGGCCTGGGGTGGGGGGTCGGTCAGGGTTGATGAGACCTGGAGACCTTGGGGATGTGACTGCAAGACAACAGGACACTTACTGCTGTAGGGAGAGTGGGAAAAGAGGCAGAAATACCAGTCTATTTTTCAGGATAGAAAAGTATCCAGTAGCTTGCATAGGTTCCCCATGTCACTTTTTACTTAAGAATTTATGAAGCATATCTCATATTTGTTGTTAACAGGTAAACATTCCTGTAAAAGTGTACGAATAGGCAATTAAGCGTTGCAATGTATGAATTTAACAAGTTATGCAAACGCTAAATATCACAATCACTGCTAAGCTAAAAGTCATGAATATTACAACTTTGTAAGTACCTACAATGTAAGTATGCATGTAAGATTTTAAAAATTATTACATCACGTGCACTGACAATATTAACAGAAGTCTTGACATATACTAATACATTGATAGTAATGGCAGCACCATTGAGGATGTTCTCATTCTCATTTCCATGTCACTGATGAGGACACTGGAACATGAGGAGGTTGCAAACCAAGTTCCCACAGCCAGCAAGAGGGAGCACTAATAACTGAAACCCAGAGGTTATTGATCTGGAGGTCACCTTGTTCCAGGACAGTGATGGGGTCACATGATCTCCTGCATCCACACCATGGACGTCCTCCATTCACATTTTACTCTTTCCACAGGTTTCCATGGCATCAGAGGCACTTATGAGTCAGACTGAGGTAAGTAGAGGGTGTCTCAGGCCTTCAATCTAATATATATATATATACATATATGCACATATTATATATATATATATACACACATCCCACTGTGGTGACTGGGATGTGTCCTGGTATTCTATATCTATCACTCTACTGATGTTTGGATCTAGTGCTTATGGGGTTGGTTTGGACATAGGATCCAGAATCCAGACCAGGGGTTGTATGGACACAACTCAGTGTCTGACCACCAATAGCTTGTCCTGTTGAAGGTATTAAGGGACAGGGATCTGCATGTGCAAAAAATTATAGGTGACACTGAGAAGGCAGTCACCTATTACAGCTATCTGAAAAGATGCAGGATTCAGGCCTTGAATGCCAGGCTGAGAGAGTGTGCCTTTATTCTGAGGGCACTGGAAGCCCTAGAAGCTTAGGAATAGAGTGTGGGGTGTGTGTCATCTGAATTAGGTCTTAATGCACCTTTGGCTGTAGAGTGGAGAACAGATGAGAGTGAGGGAGAAGGTTCTAAAAGAGTCTCCGTGATGCCTGGTCCACAGTTGTGGCTGAATCAGGATGGTGGCTTTGGATGTGGGAGAAAAGTATGGCTTTTGAATTTATTCTTACAGTAGGTCCAATTAGACATTTTGATTTGCGGTTGAGAGAGAAGGATGGGAGTCTGGGATAACTATTTAGACATTTTGATTTGCGGTTGAGAGAGAAGGATGGGAGTCTGGGATAACTATTTAGACATTTTGATTTGCGGTTGAGAGAGAAGGATGGGAGTCTGGGATAACTATTTAGACATTTTGATTTGCGGTTGAGAGAGAAGGATGGGAGTCTGGGATAACTATTTAGCCTTTGCAGCTGGAGGGAAAGATTGCTATCAAGTGAAATAGAAAGGTCAGTTGCAGAAAAAAACTTCAGAAGGAATGTTTAAGTTTTTGCCATGTTGAGTTTAAGATGTTCCAAAGACATTGAGTGGGTAGATAGATAGACAGGGTCTGAAGTTTGGGAGAGGGATTATGGTTACAGATACATCAGTATGGTGGCTTGTATGTGAACAGGAGTGGAACTAGGAGTTACAGTTAGCAGGGGGACAATTCAGGTCGTGGTGACTGAAAGCAGAATATGGAGCAACAGATGAGGATTGGGTCTATATTCTTTGGGCCCCTGAATATGATTGATTAGTATCAAAAATCAGGTGAGGGAGAGTGGTTGCTGTGGGTATGGAGGTGGGTCTGTCAGGGTACCAAGCCTTTGGAGAGAGAATGGCCATGTGATGGGTGTGGAAGGATAACAATGATGGAAGTGAGATGACAGCAAGGCAGTGAGGCCAGGACCTACCCTTAACTCAGCTCTGGGAAGTCTTCCTAGGCTTTTGTGGTGACCCTTGCTGGAGCCTTGAGAGCTTCATTCAGTTTATTCCTTCCTTCAGGCTGGTGGTTAAGTAGGAGAATCACTAAGCTAGGGGACTGGGGAAGCTGTTCATGAGTGAGTGGGTTTTGATGGATGGAGGATGGCTGAAGTGGGTGAGGGTGCAGCCTGTGATACAAGAGTTAAAGACTTGAGGTGTCTGCCACATCTGGTGGTTCTGGGTGGCTGAGACTGAAGCAAGGATCAGGCAAAATGGAAAGGCTAGTGTCTAGGGCTTCCCCTCTCACTGGGCCATCAGAGGTCCGAGGAACAATGGAATCATGGTTGCAGTTTCATGTACTTTCTGGATGCCAGGTGCAGAGTGAAATGTTGAGAGGTCAGGGAGATGTCTGCAATGTGGGCCAGGAAGTTGGCAGTGGCCATGGAGGTGAGAAATGTGAGGAAGAGATGGTTCACACAGTGATGTGCTCAGGTGAAAGTGTGAACTGATGGTCCCAGGACTTATTCCTGGGAATTTAAGAGAGAAAGCTGAGTCTGTGTTTATGTATAGGGAGGCAGGATTTAGGAGGCATGATCAGAGGACTTAGCTTGCAGGACATGTAGTGGGCCCCTTCATGCCAGGCCCAGAGCTTAGTTGCATGTATCTGCCCACATGCCCTAGTGGGTCTATGTGGCACAGTGATCAATAGAGCCTTGAGAGCGGGGCCAGCTGTGGCACTCAACCTCATATTCCTATGTAATAAGCTGAGGAGGAGGTGTAGCAGAGAATGCATTCATCAGGGTATTTTGAGTAGCGGCTCTCTCTAAGGTAGACCTGCTGCTCAAGGACATGACCTTCCCTGTCCTGGTAGGGCAGTGTAACCATTGAGGATGTGACTGTGGACTTATCCCAGGAGGAGTGGAAGCTTCTTGATGAGACACAGAGACAACTGTACCGCAATGTGATGCTGGAGAACTTTACCCTTGTGGCCTCACTGGGTAAGTCCCTCTGTAGTTCATATATATCCTTGACTGGGCCTTTTCTTTCTCCTTTTCTTTAGGGGGCTTCTCTTTGCTTCCAAAGCCACCTAGGGACACTCTTCCTTAGGTTTTCTTATAGAAGATCTGTGGGTGCCAGGGCTGGGCTGAGTGCTCTCCTATGTTCTTCCCAGGGAGTGCTACTACCTGGGACCTGGAAGTCTTTCAGGAAAGGCTATCAGGGGAGGAATCTTGCAGTGAATGCAGTGGTTCCCACCAAGGGTAGATTCACCCTGACATAGTTACTCTCCAGATTATTGTACTTCTTTGTCTCCAGTTCTGTCCTCTTCCCTCATGTATGTGATGGTACCATGAATCGCAGGGACTAGTATGGCCACTATTTGTAGGGACCAAAGATGTTCCTCTGAGGTCCTTTTTTATTATTAGTTTCCTTTCCTATGGTCCATGGGGAGTGGGATCATCTTGAGTTACTGCTGTCCACTCACTGGACTTGTCTTTCCCTTAGGACTTGTATCTCCCCAGATTCATGTACTTGTCCAGCTGGAGCTGGGGGAAGAGGCCTGGGTGCCTGACAAGGCAGATGTGACACCAGCCAGGGCAAGTATGCCCTGGAAGGGAACTGGCTGTGGTAAGTGAGAAGTGAGGAATAGAGTATAATCCTACTAGGAAACTCTCCAGTATCCATTAATGTTTTCATAGCAAGGACAGTATCCATGACTCATCTCACTCCTTCAGCCCCATCCTTTACATTTTGCCCACTGATCTCTACTTTGCCATCTGGTCTGAGCCAACCACACTTCTCTGACTCTAAGGTCACGCCATCTTCCACACTGAGCTACATGTAATGTGCTGAGATGTGCAATAGCCTAGTCTTGGAACAGTACTTAGTTACAGTTGGATTTACGGGTCTGGGTATACCCTTTTGTTCAGTGCTCACATTAATCAGACAAGGCCTTGTGTAGAAATAGGTCAGAGACGCAGTTGCCCTTCTGTGTTAGATCCCATTGCTATGTCCCACTGTGGAGTGGTCCTCCCCGCTGTGATTTTGGCAGTCTCAGTGTAGCAGACCCTTTGTCACACTCAGTCTAGCCCTGTTATCTTCTCAGCGGTCCCATGTACTAATTCCTGGGTTTGTAATATGCACATTTGTTTTACTCATTGGTTACTGGTAAAAGCTTAGTTATTTGTACTTTAATAGATGAGCATAACATGTAAATTATACACATTTATGGGCTACAATGTGGTCTTGATACATTTAACACAGTGTACTATTTAGGTCAGTGTACACATACGTGCTTATCATGCTTTATTTCATGGCCTGTTTTGAGACAGGGTCTCACTGTGTAGTCCAGAATGGCCTTGAACCTGCTTTATCCTGCGTCACTCAGCCTCCTGTGTGTAACATTACAGAAGTGCCTCACTGTGCTCGGCTTCATTTCTTTCTTTTTTGACTGTACTGGTGTTTACTCAAGGCCTGCATTTGATAGCAGGTGCTCTACCACTTGAGCCATGCCCCCAGCCCTTTTTGCCTTAGTTTTTTTCGAGTAGAGTCTTGTATTTTTGCCTGGGCTAGCCTGGACTGCAGTCCTACTTAAACTTTGAGCATAGCTGGGCGTACAGCCACCTACCCCCAACATCCAACTTTTTTGTTGAGATGGGGGTCTTGTTAACTTTTTTTCCAGGCTGGCCTTGTACCTGCATCCTCCCAATCTATGCCTCCGTTAGCTGGAATTATAGGCATGACCTTCATTTCTTCATGGCTAAAACATTCAAAAACCTTTTTTTTTTTTTTTTTTTAGTTTTTTGAAGTACTCCCTACTGTGCAATAGCACACCAGAACTTCTTTCTCCTATCTAACTACAACTTACTACCCATTGATCAGTCTTCTTCTATCCTTCTCTGCCCCAAATCTCCTCAGCCTGTGATAACCACCATTCTACTGTCAACTTCTATGACATATTTTTTACCTTTCACCAAAAAAAGAAAAAAAAAAAAAAGGTAATGGGTAATTTTCTTTCTGTGCCTAGCTTTTTCACTTAACATAATGGTCTCCATTTCCACCCATGTTGTTGCATAATGCAGGATTTCATTTGTTTTTACAGCCCAATCATAGTCCATTGAGTATATGTACCACATGTTCTTATCCATACACAGTTTACCAGCATTTAGACGGTTTTATTTCTTGCTATTGTGAATAGCTTTACAGTCAGCATGAGAATATAGATGTCTCTTCAGCATACTGATTTCATTTTCTTTGGATACATACTCAGTAGTGGAACTGCTGGATAATATGATACTTCTATTTATAATTTTTTTTTGTGGTGCTGGAAACTTAACCCACAGCCTCATCTGTGCTAGGCAGTTTTTCTACCACCGACCTATACTCACAGCCCTTATTTTTAATTTTCTGAGGACTGTTGCTCCATAATGGCTATACCAATTTTACGTTCTCACCAACAGTGTTCAAGGGCTCTCTTTTTCTTCACATCTTGGTCTTTTTGATAATAGCCTTTCTTACTGGAGTGGAGTGAATGTGATATCATCTCATTGTGGTTTTGTTTTGCATTTCTCTGATGATTAGGAGTATTGAGTATTTTTTGCATGTTTTTTTTTGAGTATTTCTGTCTTTTTTTTAGACCTGTCTACTTCTATTGTCCATTTTTGAACCGGGCTATTTGTATTTCGCTATTGAATTTTTTGAGATCCATATACATTCTGGATATTTAACCCCATGTTAAACTATGCATAGTTTGCAGATCATTTCTTCCATTCTAATGGTTGTCTTTTCTGAAAGACATGCATTTGTGATTGGGCTGCTTCTTTCCTCCAAGATTTCATGTACTTCAACAACTTTTTCTGCTTCCAGGTTCTTTGTTTCGAGTGGAGAATGAGGAGATACCTTTTGAACAAGGGTCAAGGGTTGGGGCTCCAAAGGCCAGTCCAGCCACCCAGAAGACATACCCTTGTGGGACGTGTGGCCCAGTCATGAAACACATTTTGGTGCTGGCTGAACAGCAGGGAAAGCATCCTAAGCACAAAATGCACACGTGTGGGGCATGTGGCAGACAATTCTGGCTCAGTGTAAGCATCCCCCAGGACCAGCAGCAGCACAGTGGGAGGGAAGACCTCAAAGGGGATGAGGACAGGACTTCCAGTGTTCATAACTGCAGAGCCCACATGCCAGGGAATCCTTTCACATATGAGGATGGTGGGGAAGATCGCCTGCAGAGCACATGCTTTCTGCCACATCAGACCAAGGGGCATTTCCCCATAAGCATTGAGTGCAGGAAGGCCTTTGACATGGGAGAAGAACATTACAGGTGCATTGAATTTGGAAAAGATTTCAGCTATACACACAAGCTTCCTGAACACCAGAGAATTCACATGGGAGACAGGCCTCATGGATGCAGTGAATGTGGTAAATCCTTCAACCGCAGACACAGGCTTGTTCAGCACCAGAAAATCCACAGAAGAGAAAGGACTTATAAATGCACGGAATGTGGGAAATGTTTTCGACAAAGTTATGGTCTTATTCAGCATCAGAGAGTTCACACTGGAGCAAAACCTTATAAGTGCAGTGAATGTGGGCAATTTTTTAGCTGCAGAACCACGGTTGTCCGGCATCAGAGAATTCACACTGGAGAAAGGCCTTATGAGTGTAGTGAATGTGGAAGATCCTTTAGACAAAGATCTAGCCTTATTGGACACCAGAGAATTCACACTGGGGCAAAACCATATAAGTGTGGTGAATGTGGGAAATGCTTTAGCCGCAAAATCACACTTGTTCGGCATCAGAGAATCCACACTGGAGAAAGACCATATAAGTGCACTGAATGTGGGAAGTTCTTTAGCCAAAACTCTGGCCTTATTTCACATCAGAGAGTTCACACTGGTGAAAAACCATTTGAGTGTGTTCAGTGTGGGAAATGTTTTAGCCACCGATCCAGCTTCAATTTGCATCAGAGAGTTCACACTGGAGAAAGGCCTTATGAGTGCAGTGAATGTGGGAAATGCTTTACCCACAAGTCCAGTCTCCTTAAACATCAAAGAAATCACATTGTAGGAAAGCCTTAAGCCAGTTTCTTTCCTTCCTTTGATAGCAGAAAATTCATCCTGGAGAAAGGCCTTAGAGTGCAGGGAGCTTGCTGCCTATTTGGTTGATGAAATGAGTGACTTCATAGAATCTCATAGTGGCTTCTGTGAAATAGCCATCTGTCACAAATTGAATCTCACATCTGGACATCCACTTTATAGATATTCCCTGAGTGCCAGTTATGTAGGAAGCGTTCAGGAGCTGCATTGCACTTTATATACTGCCCAAGGCCTTTGAAGTATGTCAGTGCTTTACCTGTGCTGAAACCTCACCTCTGGCATCTGGTGAGTATGTGTCAGGTTACACAGTGTGCTCAAGGAAGGCAGGCCTCCACTGCTCCCTTTCTTCCCTGGAGGAAAACATGAGTGATGTGAAGCCAGTGGAGTCTACCGTAATTACATTCACACACTAGATGAGTTAAGGACAGCAAATTCTAGAGTATACCCTCTAAATGTGCTTCCATGAATGCTGTGAGTGGTCAGCGTACATGGATATTCTCAGGACTTGTATATTTTGTTTGTCCTGTGGACATGGTCACTGGCTGAGCAAATATTCTGTTTTTTGGGCTGCTGAGGCTACTCAGCTTGTTCACGAGAAGGCCTTAGCTCCATGGGCCAGAAAGTGGAGACAGAAAAGACAGACTATAATGCAGGTTTGTGAGTAGGGACTCACTAACAGCCTTTTGCTCACTAGTCTTTGCTTCTGTTGAAGAAGGGCTGGCCCTTCCAAAGGGTGAAAGTAAGTATTGTGGAATCAGTGTTTGCCAAATCTGTTTTTGCAGAGAGTTGACATCCAGTTTTTTTTGTAAAACTATTATAAAGTTCTGTAGAGATATTCATGTGCAATGTATTGTGCATAAAGTGTGGAACATGACAAGCTCAATGTATACAGTCATGAACACCACCGTCATCATGAGTGTATTCATCCCCTAAGGGTCCCTCATTCCCCTTTATAATTCATTCTTCTGCCTTCTCCCCTCAGTCTCCTTTCCTGTAACCACTGATTTACTGTCTTCCAGTGTAGATTTGTTTTCCTTTTCTAGAGTTTATGTAAATGAAGTAACATGTCTTTTTTACTTATTTTCATGGAAGCATAATGAGATTTTTTTTCGTGTTAATTGTAAGGATACTTGTTTTCTTATAGGCTAGTATTTATTCTCTTTATGGACAGTCTTTATATTATAATGGACATTTGGAATACTTCCAGTTTGGGGTCAGTACAAATAAAGCTGATGTGAACACTCATAGTTCATGTACTAGTTTTTCTCTTGGGTTAATTCCTAGAAGTCAAAGGCCTGAGTGTCTAATTTTTACTTTTGGAAGTGACTGAGTGATGACACAGACACAATGCCATTGAAAGAAGAATTTAGTATTTCTATTTCCCAAGAGGAGGGGCCACACCATGTCACACAGGGCCACATGGAGAGCACCAGTTTTGGTCAGGAGGCAGAAAGTAGCAAGTTTAAGGGATAGACCACAGCCTTTAATGAGGACTCCACAGGAAAGAAAAGAAGGGCAGAATAAACAATTTAGGATTAACTGGTTTGAGTAATTCCAGTGGGTTTTGGATTATGGTGCTACTTGGTATCTGGTTCTATGATTCTGTAGGGCAGGGGAAATACTGGCCTTGTATGTTAAGAATTAGCTGGGCTATAGACTTAGGATTAGTTGGTTTATATATGAAAGATGTGCTCCTATCAAGCCCTTTGCTCTAAAGGCCAGCCCTGGAGGGGCAGTCTCTCTTGGGCTATCAAGTTTGTGGTGCTATCAAGTTTACTTAAGGTGTCAAAACATCAGAAAACAAACAAGGACTCTAAGTCAAAGGCTCCAGGAATGTTTTATCAGATACAAACTGTTCTAGTTTGCTTATAGCACATGCTTACAACAATGAGAGTTTCACCTGCTCCACGTACAGTATTGCATCCACCAATACTTAGGATGTTCAGTCTTTCTATTTTTTTGTCATTCTCATTAGGTGTATACTGGTATTCTTGTGATTTTATTGCATATATCCTTAGTGACTAATACGACTGCCATTTCTCTTTGATTAAATGTTCAAATCTTTTGCCCAATGAACTTTTTTTTTGTTTGTTTTATTGCTGTTTTGAAAGCAATACATCTGGACACAAACCCTTCATTAATGTAGACTTCTAACTCTGGCTTGTGTTTTCGCTCTTGATGATTTTTCCCATGTTGGAAGTTTTTAAACGCATTGTTCCCATTTATTGAGTATGTTTTGGGGTTTTATTTTACATATTACCCAGGAATTAAAAAAAAATCCTTCTTGTGTTATCTAATGTAGACTTCATGCTTTTAGTGTTATAATCAATTTTGAGTTAATTCTTCTATACTGTATGAGGTTTGGGATAAGAGTTTTGTTTCTATTTTTGCTTCAATATGGATATTCAATAGCTTCAGTACCATTTGTTGCTCTGTCTTCTATACTGAGTTGCTTTTGATCCTTTCTTAAAAATCATATGATCTTTTATGTGTTAGTCTATTTCTGGACTTTTTCAATCTAGAATATTGCTGGTATCTTAAAAGTTTCACTTAATTTAGTAATATGTCTTGAAATGAGGTAACGTAGTCCTTTAACTTTCTACTTCTTCAAAAACATTTTTGTCTAGTCTACATCCTTTGCATTTCCATATGAATTTTTTTTGTGGGGGGGGGGAGGTGGGTCTGGGGATTGAACCCAGGGCCTTGTGCATGCCAGGCAAGTGCTCTGCCACTGAGCCACATCCCAACCCTTTCCACATAAATTTTAGAATCCATTCATAAATTTCTAATGGAAGCACTGTAGAGTTTTGATTAGGTCTGCATATGTATAATTTATATATTACATAATTTGAATAGAATTAACATTTTAACAGTATTAACTATAACATTCCATAAATGTGGTATATGTCTCTGTTTCTTTAGGTCTTTAATTTTCCTCAGCAATCTCTTATAGTTTTCAGTGTATATATCTTATGCATCTTGTCTCTAAATATGTTATATGTTGTAAAAATGTTCTTTTTAAATTTCAGTTTCCAGTTCATTTCTAGTATGTAGAGGTATAATTATTTTTAGAGGTACAATTATTTTTAATATTCATCTTCTACCTTGAAAACTATTAAGTAGGTTTTAAAAAATTATTTCTTTTATTTTGTTTGAGATAGCATAGGCTAGGCCTTGAATTCATGATCCTGTATCAGCCTATCAAGTTCAGGGAGTACAAGCATCCATCTACTACATCTGGCTTTTGTTTCATTTTGTTTGTAGATTCCATGTGGTATCTTCTGTTAACACTCATGTTGCTTATAAATAACTTTTATTTCCTTGTTATCAAGCTGGCAAATGGTTTTTTCCTTAGTTTTATTAGGTTTTGAGAGTTCTTAGTAAATTTGAGCATAAACCCTTCTTTAGACAGTGATTTAACAGATTTGACAGTACAGTCTTCTAAAATCTAGCTTATGTTTTCACTCTTTTTTTTTTTTGGTAGTACTGGGATTTGATCTCAGAGCCTCTCTCTTGCTAGGTAAGTGCTCTACCACTTAAGCTACACATCCAGTCCATTTTTTTTTTTTTTGCTTTAGTTATTTTTCAGATAAGGTCTAGTGTTTTTATCTGGGTCCTGTCTTAGAACACCGTCCTCCTACTTACAGGCACATGCTCCTACTGCCCTGCTTATTTTATTTTGATGGAACTGTGGTTTGAATTCAAGGCTTTGCTCTTGCAAAGCAGGCGCTCTACTTGAGCTGCACTTTCAGTCCATTTTGCTCTAGTTCCCAAGATGGGCTCTTGGGAATTATTTGCCTGGGCTGACCTCAAACAGTGATTCTCCTGATCTCAGCTTCCCAAGTAGCTAGGATTATTGTTTTGTTTTGTTTTAATCTATACTAGGGTTTGAATTCCAAGCCTCAGACTTGCTAGCAGGTGCTCTACCACTTGAGCAATTCCACTAGCCCATGTAGTTTGGATTATAGGTGTAAGCCACTGCAGTCAACTACCTGGTTTATTTTATGCATTTATTTATTTATTTTATTTTGGCAGTACCTGTGTTTGAACTCAAGCCCTCACACTTGCTAGGCAGGCATGCTACCACTTGAGCCACTCCAGCAGCCCAATCCCATTTATGTTTTAAGATAGAGTCTCAGCCAGGCACCAGTGGCTCACACCTGTAATCCTAGCTGCTGAGGAAACAGAAATCAGGAGGATCACAGTTTAAAGCCAGCCCTTGCAAAAAAATTCACAAGACCCTATCTTGAAAATGCCTAACACAAAAAAGACTGGTGGAGTGGCTCCAGGTGTAGGTCCTGAGTTCAAGCCCTGGTACTATCAAAAAAAAAATAAATAGAATCTTGCTACCCTTTTTCAAATACTGGCCTTGAACCATGGTCTTGTCTTTCCAATCTTTGTCTCCCAAACAGATGGGATTACAGGCATAAGCCACCACACCCTGCTTTGGATTAAAGTATATACTTTAAAGACTCCTTCTTACAGAAGAGGAAGCAAAAGAAATACAATCATAAGGCTAAGAAAAAGAAGAATTCTTGCTAGAAGAGTAGACAAACATGTGATAATTAGTAAAGAACCAAGCATGATTAATTTGGTAAGCCATCATACCTCTAAGATGAATAAGGAAAAAAGAAATAATTATACATTATTCAAAAGCAATCAGAAGAAAAACAAGAAAATGTCAGGCACTAGTACATGCCTGTCAATAATGACCTTAATTCTAAATGGCCTTAATTCTTCTATTAAAAGATAGAGTTGCTGACCAGATTAAGAAACAAGACACAACAATTTGCTGCCTACAAATGAGTGATGGCAAGAGACACACAAAGACACACAACAGGATAAAAGTAAAAGGATGGAAAATAATATTACAAGAAAATAAAATCCAAAAAACAGCAGTAGCTACAGTCATATCTGAAAAAACAAAAACAAAAACAGACTTTTAGCCAACAGAAGAGATGAAGGTTACTACATATAGATAAAGGGAACAATCCATCAAAAATTGCAACAATTATATATGCACACAGAACTTCAGTGCACCCAATTTCATAAAACAAACATTGGATATGAATGGCAAGTTAGGCCTCAATACAATAATTGTGGGTGACTCCAAAACCATATTCTCTGGATGATAGATCATCCAGACCAAAAAAAAAAAATCAATAAGAAAAGCTACAGTGATAAAACTGTAGATCAAATGTACTTAACAAACATGTATAGAATATTCCACCCAAGAACTGCAGAATACACATTCTTCTCAGAAGTTCATGAGATTTTCTCCAAATAGATCATATTTTAGAACATAAAGCAAGACTTTTTAAAATTTAATTTAATTTTTGAATTAACATACATTAATGAGATTTCATTGTGTTAGTTTCATACATGTATACAGTGTATGTTGAACAAGTTTACCCTCTTTATTAAACAAGTCTTAAAAATATTTAAAATATTGAAATAATTTCTTAGATCTTATCAGATAATTGAGTGAGACTAGAAATCAAAAGCAAATAAAATGCATAAACTATGCAAAACTATAGTTGTATAAACTATACAAAAACATGGAATAATAATACACTTTTGAATGATCAGTGGGTCACTGAAGGAATTAGAAAATTCTAAAGGATTCAGAATCAAATGAAAAGGAAACAGTATATCAGAGTTTGTGGGATACAGGGAAGGGGGAAGTTTATGAATGTGAGTGCCTATGCTAAAAAATCAGATCTCAAAAAACTTCCTCATGATGTATCTCAAAGTCTTAGAAAAACAAGAACAAGCCAAACTCAAAACCTATGGAAGGTCAGAAATGATAATGGTCAGAGCTGAAATTAATGAAATAGACACTAAAAAACAGGATCAATGAAATGAGTTGGTTCTTTGAAAAGATAAGCAAGTCTAGCTAACTCTTAGCCAAATTAACCAAAAGAAAGAGAAGACCCAAATTAACAAAATTAGAGGGGAAAAAAGGATATTACAACAGATACTACTGAAATTCAGAGACTCATTAGGGGACTCTTTGAAAACATGTATTCCAAAAAAGTGGAAAATTGAGAAGTAACGGCCAAATTTCTAGACATGTGACCTAACAAAATTGAACCAAGAGGGTAAAAATTCCTAAACAGATTAACATCCCACAGGAGACTAAAGCAATAATAGTTTCCCAATAAAGAAAAGCTCAGGATTGGATGGAATCACTGTTCAATCCTGACAGCCCATTAAAAAAGAATTAACACCAATGCTCCTCAAACTATTCCACAAAATGGAAAGGGTGTTTCCAAATTATTTTATTAAGACAGTGTTACCCTGATACCAAAAACAGATAAGGATGCACAACAACAATATCACAAAAAAAGAACTGCAGACCAATATCATTGATGAACATGAATGCAAAAATCAATAAAATACTGGCAAATTGAACTCAACAACACATTAGAAAGCCCATACACCATGGTCAAGTTGTTTTCATTTTAGGG